TATTTCTGTCTTTCTCTAACTTCTGTTTCTGTAATAATAATTTTTTGGCTTAATGACCTAATTAATTGACAGTTTTTTATTTTTGATATAACCTTTTTTAAAATTATTATAATTTGTAAACAATTAAAATAATTCTAGTGGATTTGCATCTATTCTCTTTTATTCCACGCGGTTTTTCATTGTGATTTCATTGTAAAGTGAATATGATCTTTTGGGTGTACTTGTCTGATTGGTTGAACTGGTTAAAATGAAGTTAGGTATAAAAAACACAGGATCGTTTTCGTGTGTGCTTTGGTTTTTAAAACGCTCTCTTTCCTCGAGAGAAGTCTGGCAGGCAAGTCCTTTTATTTTTAGTAATTTTTGCTCTTAATTTTTGGATTCTCCCTTATAGATTTTTCAATATATTTTACTATCAATTCATATTATCATATCATTGTTAAGTTTTTACCTGATAAATCTTATCTTATCTATTCTTGAAATATAAATATTATATTTTAATTTTTTTATCTAATTGTTGGCTTCCATTTTGTGTGAGTGCTGATTGGTAGTGCCACGTTTATCTGAGGTGAGTCAATTCAGATTTTTGGACTTTAAATAGGTACTGCTCCTCTGGTTTTCAAAATCAATTGTTAGTGTGGGAATATTGGACCATTTGGTCTAAATAGAGTCGGTGAAAACCAAATTTGTGTGTCCATCCCTATCAACTCTTTATTGAATCCAGGCAGAGGCCTGAATAGCCATTATTTCGACTGAAGGGTGTAATTTTTTAATAGGAATCCAGACAGGTCAAAAATTCAGAAAAAAGTTTTAACTAGAACATCTCAAGAATTTTGACATATTCTGGATTTGATTGATTTCACCGTCAGGTTTTTCTTGTAGTATCTATTGTGGCTACCTTAATTTAAAAGGAAAATTTTGTCTATTTGGGGGAGAATCCAAAGATTTAATTTCTTATTGTTTTACCTTATTTTGTTCATATTTCTGCCTGCCAGAGCTGCTGTCAGAAAAGCAGCATTTTGCTCAATCATAACGAGCATTTTAATTTAATCTTGTTATTATTTTAATTTTATTATTCTCAATTATTTAATTGTATTTTTTTTATATTAAAATATATTTTTTCCCAACTTGCAATAGCTGTTCATACCTGATTCTGTTGGAAGAGAGTTTCTGTACAACAATCGTTTTATATTAAATTTCAATTTCAATTTCTTTTGCAAGACACTCACTTTTTGACAGAATTCAGGAATTTAATATTCCAAATATTGGTGAACCTGATACTGCCTTATTCTTTTCTGGGTACCTACTCGACATAAAGATCACTGTTTAGAGTCTGGATCAGCTGGAGTGACGTCACCCCAGCAATTTATCCTCTTCCTGGATACAGGAACCAAAACGAAGAGCTCCGGATTGGAAAGGTACATGGTATCAGATTCACCGGAAAAAAAGCTGTCAACACTAAAATTTTACAGAAAGTAACATTTACTGTTACTCTATGTAACATATAACATTGTTAAATATCAAATAAAATTATTGTTTGTTGGATTTTGAGTGGTTTCATTTGCACATAAAAGGACTACACGTTATTTTAATTTTTTGAATTCCACGATCCTAGGTTATCTTGTCTTAAAGTAACAAATGTCAATTTAATTTGTAACATGAGAAGGCGGACAAACTCCGCTTTCAGGACCAGGGCCTTTCTGTGGCATATGGACGCACACCTAAAAGAAAGCGTTCAGAAAAAAAAAGAGGCCCAAATGATCAGCCTCTGGGAGAAGCTTCTAGGGTTGACAATCAAAAAAGTTTCTTGGGCCCCCTCACCAAGGGAGATCAAAAGATATCACTGAGTAAAAACAATCTTCGCATTCTCACTGGATTCCTTACAGGCCACTGCCAGTTAAGAGGGCATTTTGAGAGAATTAAAATCAAAAACGAGTAGGGGAAGGATTGGAAGGAAACTGCAAAACACCTTCTCACGGAGTGCGAGGCGATCGTGAACAAACGAATTGCCTGCTTCGGATGCTGCACCGTTTGATGGAAAGAAATTCCATCCATAGATCCATCCAGCTTACGTGCGTTCATAAAAGCTTTAAACTTGGATGAGGTGCTTTGAGTGAGAATCCTATCAACTGAAGCAACTGCAGTAGAGGTGGAGAACTATCGATAGTCCCGACCATCGATATTTATCGATAGTCGGGACCTTGACTATCGATTAATATCGATAGTTTTCGATAGTAATTAGTTACAAGTTATAAGGAAATATTAAAGATATCTGTACGTCATATGAATGTAAATTACATTAGTTAGCAAAGATAGATAGACAAAAACCTTATTTTCTTTTTGACGTACTAAAAATATGATTCTAGTTTAATGATCTTTAAACATCAACATCTATCATTTGCGGAGAACGTACTTTTTTCCGAAAATGAAAATATCCTTTCTGAAAGCCTAGAATTTTTGTATAAAAATCATTATTATTATCGACTATTTCAACGTTCTTCAAGAACCTTTGTCAGAAATAATGGCACCACGCACCACGGTGAAAGTCTTTTTAAGCCTAGTACTCATAACTGCGAAATTCGCATTTTTTGACATTGCGTTGACAACTTGACGTTTTATGCGTGTATCAAACGTCAAATTGTCGAAGCAATGTCAAAAAAATACGAATTTCGCAGTTATGAGTACTAGGCTTTAGATTGCTTTTTATAAAAAATTTCCATTTTTAAAATCGGCTTTTCTACATTAAAATCGACAAAAAAAAATAACTCAAAAGCACAGCCTGAATTGCAAGCGTCCTATCGAGGCCTGCGGGTGACGTCACCGCTATAAGGTACTGATAATTGTGACGTCAATCGCAGGCCTTGCCCATTCAAGAACTGGCAAACTTACGTCCTATGAGGATGAGCAATCGTAAGTAGTTTAGGATTCTTGTTTTTGCAGTTCAGTTTTGTGCATCTAACCTAACTTTCGCTTATTAATGGGCGTTACAGCCAACTATCGAAAACTATCGATGGTTGAAAAAAATTATCGATATATTTCGATAGTCAATACTATCGATAGTTATCGATAGTGCCATCGATAGTTCTCCACCACTAAACTGCAGTTCGCTGTGTAACAATACTCCTCGAAATACCCCTAATTCATTTATTCATCCATTGGGTTGGACATATACCAAATGGACATTTGAGACAGCCTAATGAAAACCTTGGGGTAAAAAAGACACCCAGAACATTCAATAACGCGATGACATCCGAAAGGTAGCGGGAAAAACAGGGATAAACTAAAACCGAAATAATTTTAAGTAAATGGAGGAGGCATTGTCCGTCCATTGACAAAAAACGCTAGATAGGGAGAGATCTATGCGATGCGTTTGTATAGAGGCATAGCAATGCAAAGTCGCGTACTTTTTTCCAATTCAATAAGGCGCGATCTTCAGCCAGCAATCAATTTTTGCAAAAATTTCTCGATTGACCCAGTTGGGATTGAATCGATCCAAATATATAAAGAGCTATGCTGAAGTGGCGAAAATTCAGCTATATAATCGTTTCCACATGCAACTAATCTGAATAATTTTACTTACTAGTCATATATAACTATTATACTCCTCAGCGATCCTTGTCCAGCATGGTTTTCTTACCTAAAAATTAAAAAAAAAACTACATTAAAAGAGCAAAATAAACAAAAAAAAAAAACAATTCAATTTGTAACATTGAGTACCTATAAGCCCTAAATTTAATCAGAGCTGTACGCCTCTGTCTGCAAGTTACACAACCACAACCCAGCATCCGCTCTACCTGGAACCAATAGATAATAAAAAGCGTCCGTCATTTCTTTCTCCGTCTTCGAGTTAAAACGCCTCACCTGCGAATCAGGTTCTGCTTTGTTCGTCTGGTTTATTTAGAATAAGACCATAGCAGACTCATGGAACCATCGAACCATCAGGTAAAAGATTGGTTTGTTTACGAGCAATCCCGGCGGGAACCCAACAAGCGAGTAACAAGCGGGCGTGGACTCGGATCGAATATTGTAGTTTCATTCATGAACTTGAAACTGTGTCAAGTGATGGAGATTCAATGGTGGGAAGAGATTTGGAGGTTCACTACTAGGATATTATTGTAGTAAAAGTCGCACTGACGACAAAAATAAGGATTTAATTCTAGAAAGTTCATTTATCGATATTTTAATCAGATAACAAAAAATCACAGGTGCATGGTCAGATAGGTGTATAAAATTATACGCATTTGTCTCGTTTTACGTAAAAATAGGAGAGCCCTCAAGGAGAACTTCTCGATATTATCTCGCCAAGCCTAATCGCGCCATGTATATTGGTGTTTACAGTTATAAACATATAAGAAATGAACGAAGGTATCAGATGTCCATTTACTGCTATGTTGTGCGTGATTTCTGGTTATAATTTTGCGTTAATGACCAATATTTCGGATTTATGACAGCACTCTATAGAAGTTAACATTTTTATGGCATTTTGATAGGATCTGATTGAAGTTGATAAACGTCCCTTTGTTCGCAGAGATAAAAACAGTTTTCAAAATATAAGACCAACACGACTATTAATGAAATCACATCTATTAGTGAAATGTGTAAATGGCTGCAACCAGAGCACCGATCCTGAGTACCTCTCACGTTATTCTCCCGCAATATTACGGGACAACATCTTAAAATCTTAATGCTCTTTTTAGTACACCAGACCATCTCACAGCATACTAAAATCTTTTTATCAGCTTACCACTGAATTACACATGATGTGTTTGTATCATAAATATCTTGCAAGATAAGTACATGAAAAGATTACGTAAGCGATATGCAACAAAATGCCAGATAATCTGCCATATTATTCCATCAGAAACATCGTATAAAGGTTAATGGAGTTAATGTGATAAAACACATAGTGAAAAACGGCCAACAGCGAAAGGTTGGACAAACAGCAGCAGCAACAACCCGCGAAGAGATAGAGGAGCGACAGATCGTTTCGGACAGCGGCGCGCATGAAAAACTTGCTCGGTACTCATACCAAAGAAGGAGTCACAAACGAGTACTCGACGCCAGTGGATTGCATGAAAAGGTAAAATCTAAAACGAGTTCTTGCATGAGTCACTGGCTCCGTTACATCTCGAATGCAGTGTCGTGGTGGAGAGAGATAAAACTGGAGATGGCAACGTCGCGCGACTTCAAGTCGCGATGATGATGATGATGACCAACGAGCACCGTTGAAGCGGAACGCTGAGGGCACAGGAGGTGTCCGACAGCCTTTTTCCGCTTACCGTTTGTCACTATCAATTAAAAATGGAGTAATCTATTATTGTATCGATTGAAAAACTGTTTATTAGTGATCCAATTGAATTTCTCTATAGTTTCGACAATATAATATTATTACTTTAATCACAACACAGTTGAGTTACAAGATGGGGTAGTTTAACGTCAAACTTAAAAATTTTCTTTACATCAGGATTTTTACTTGGAAAAGTTAAAAAACACAATAACAAAAAATGGCTTCATGCATGGCATAAGTATTCGAAACTTGAACTAATAAAATTTCAAAAGTTCTTGCTATTCGTCCTTTTGAATTTCTATCCTTAGTAGTCGAGTCGGGTCGCCGAGCCATATGACCTTGAAGTAGGGTACAACTAAAGTTTTATGATTGATTCTAGTACTATTTGATATACTGAATCATATGAGGGGTGCCAGAGTGGCACTTTTGGGCAACTTGAAATATTGAAGGTCAAAGTTCACGAGATCTAAATTACAGAAACCACCCATTTTATTGCGAATGAAAGGGAGTTGTTGGCTAACCATAACCAAAATAATCTCCACTATTAACATTAATCGTAGTCGTATGTGGAATTTTGTACAAATGTATAATACATAAACAATGGTGGTATAAGAAGCCGTAGAACTTCAATTCCAGATCTTTTAGACTATTTTGGTAATGATCTTGTGGTTCTCAGTTCATCAGGGATAGCTAGTATCATTTGCTTTCGTAAAGAAGCATCACACATTCTTAATTTCGAAAATTCCAAGGATGATGACTTCAACATGTTCAGAATTGCTTTGACAATTAAATCTTAAATTAAGGCTGTTTCTGTTGGACAACCGAGGGATTCACTACACGCATTTGCACCAAGGATGCGATAAAAGCGAGAAACATTGATGAGCCTCCTGATGCACGTAATTCCAAAAGATGATCTGGGTCCATGTCTTATTGGAAACATTGTAACTAGAATTGTGTCAAAAACGTATACCCCTCTACAAGTGTCTCTCGAGTCTTGAGTCGGGGATATGGAATGGCATATGGACCGACATGCTAATTGAAAAAACATTTATGCGCTTTGGCAAAACTCGTGGTGATGAAATGAATTCGGTAATTATTCCAGGTATTTGTGAGGGTATTTATGAAGCTTTATACCTGAGGATTAATATTTTTCAGTGATTGATAGGTTTTTCATTGGATTTTACTAGATTTCTACCTCTTTGATTGGATGCGAAACATCTAGTTGTTGAACAAGGGTATATTTTTCGAGGTAATAATGAGTAAATTTTTTGTATTCAGATGACAGGGTCGTTTTAGGATAATAAAGTTCTACTGTTAGAATCGAAATCCATTTTATTTAGCTTACGAAAGTTGTCTTAAAGGCCCTAAATGTCGATGAAAAGGTTTGTTTACTTCCAAATAAATATCAATTGGAAACACTTACGAGTCACGTATTTTCCATTATTAAAAATTCTGCAATATCCCACATCACTTTCACAGCCTTTAAATAGCTTTTCAACCCTTATTTCCACTATTTTTCACATTTTCCCGGTTATTTATTTCCGCATAATAAGTGTGGTTAAGGGACACTTGTGGATCCGTTTCAGGCAGCGCTGTTGTCGAGGTTTCTTGACCACTGTGGAAAATAGAGTCACTGTAGTTGTGACCACTGAACGACTGGTCATTTTGATAGTTTTTAGACTAAAGACTGGGTAGATGCTGATTATTAAGTTACTAATTGAATAATTAGTGTTAGGGAAGAAAATTGGATAACGAATTTGGGTTTCGTTTGTCATCAATGTGGTCTGGGTTGTTCCGTTCCAAGCTGATTGTTCCGTTTTCCTGGTCAAGACCGGAAATCTGGCACCAGAGGGCATCTTGGAAAAAAAAAGGAATTCTGGTAAATTTTTCATATTCATAATAAATCGCTGAAAATAAGGTCGTTCTTTTAAATTCGCACGTTGAGCAAACAACAAGTGGCAGATTTTACCAACGGTCCTTTTGCTGCGTTTCTTGGAACATCCACTTTTTGTGGGATTTTGAAGGCGTTGGGAACTCAAGTGGTTGTTGGCTTAATTGGTTTTGGGGTGAAGCTTGGATTTGGTCGTAAGTCCCCGTATTTGTAAGCCAACCACTCAGAATTTTCTGGAGACAAAGGTCTACGCAATTTTGTTGAATTGTCGGTGCGAGGATCGAGCACGTTTTGTTCAACTAGCCCAATTAGTAACCAGGTAAATTTAGGTAATAGTTTTTATCATTCTGAATTTACCTTTTTCGTTATCAATATATAGATTAGCATATCAGTAATTTTTGTAAATATTTGGGATTCTATAAGAAAAAAAATGCAATTTGACCTCCACGAGGGGTCATTTGTCAGTGAAAAACTCATCAGTCATTTCCAAAATGGGCATTAATTTTTTTATTATTATTAATAGTAAGTCTTATATCTTACTTGGTACATTTCCAAGTTTGTTTTACTGCCTTCATTATTACAATGGGTATACTGCACCAATGATTTTTAATTGACTATATTTAAGGTGACATTTTGTACAAACCCGCCCCGGTATACCATGGTATAAGCGTGCACAGGTTTTAATTAATATTATTATTCTTTTATTCCTTAATTGTTCTCTTTTACCCTCATTGGGGTAAGGTGGTCAAACATTTATTGATAATTCTTGAATTTGTTAGAGTATCTTATGAGACCATTACAAATTGGTCCTTGCTACCTTTTGGTAATTTTGACATTTACATTTAATAATAATATATACTAATACTGTGGTATTTTATATAGTATATTGCCTTCTATTGGTCTTTGTAATGCAATTTCAGGTCTAAACAAACCCCCCCAGAACATATTAAATAGTTTTATACTCATTGTTTTTATATTTGACTCTTATTTTACCCCTACTCACCTCAACGAAACTAGGGTAAAGTTGTTTTTAGAGGATAGGTACATTTTCTTAGGAATTTTGGAGATCAGGGACTTTCTGGTTTAAGTCCGCGGATTTTATTTTGTAAACCAGTGGCGACCTAAAGCTAACTTTCAATATTGAACCTACTCCCACACCACTGAGTAGCCGCGAGCACTTTGTTGCGCTGGCCGCATTCCTTAAGGGTGTCTTACAGTACCTAGGCCTATTAGGATTTATTTATTCAAATTTATTATTCAAACAGTTTAAGGGTTAATTTTTGCGCAACAAGGAATGACGTTGAAACCAAATACGGTGAAGAAGTGGGCGCTATCATTGCATGTTTGCAGTCAGCTATCTGAAGATGTACAAGATATGATAGCTGGTGAAGAATCAAAGAAGGTGCATACGATTCACAAATCACAAAGAAGAAAGTGCAGCAAGAAATAAATCTGATGAGGAGGATAGGCAGGAAATAAGAAAAAAACTTGAAGCATGTAGAAACCCTTTGGTCATTGAAGACCACCTTGATGGTCAGTACGGCCAGTACCATATTGGAAACACGAAAGTAAATGTGGATGATGCCGTATGCCTCGGAAAAAAAGCAACGACAAAAAGTTGAGGAATCACTGCCGAAAGGATTTTATGTTCCTTTGAAAAAGCAAGTTGTCACTTTGTCAAATGACAAGAAACATATGTTGGTTCAACAAACGAGTATCTATAACACAGAGGCTATCTATACGCGCGGGCCCTACAACTAATAACACGTGATATTGGAATATGCGGCCTTCCAACTTTGTTAATGAATCAATTGAGAGTACAGGTCTCGTCTATGGGGAAATTTGTGAATGCCTTAATTATAGATTATAGTGCTCTTTTGTGGCATGTTCATTGGCCAAAAGTTGGTACAATTCAGAATTATATTGACACTGTGATTGCAGTGATCATGAAGCACGTTGAAGAACAGGACACATTTCTTGTATTTGATAGGTATTTCGAGTACAGTCCAAAGAGTGCAACGCGGTCAAAAAGAGAAGTTAAAAGTACTTCCATGAAACTAAGAGCAGACACACCTCTTCCAAGTGGCAACAGTATATTGTATATCAAATATAGCTAACAACTATAATTTGTAATCAACTACTACAACATAGTGAGTTTCTTACACACAAGTTAGTCATTACGGGTACTGATACAATCCTAATTGAATTACAAACTCCTGGCATTGTAATTCCTTGTTCGGATACCATGAAGACGCAGAGGTTATAATTGTGCAGCAGTTTATTCGTCTGTCAAAGTGTGCAACGAACAATATCAAGATTCTATCTGATGACACCGACGTTTTTATTCTGCTTGTACACTTTTACAGAAAGCTTAATCTTAAATGCGCTATGTGGATGGAGTCTGTCTGACAAGGCCCAGTTGTTAGATATAGCAGCAACAGTTTATATTCTGAGAGCCCAAGCAAACTCATTGTTAACAGTGCATTATCTCACTGGCTGTGATAGCACTTCACAATTTCTTGGAAAGTCTAAAGTTGTACAAATTCTGAGATCTGGTATTGAAATTAAACATTTAGGTTGTGTAGAATCTTCAATGTATAGCAGAGTGTATAAGATTTATTGCACATTGCTACAGCTACAAGAAGGAAGTTCACATGTCAGATGGTCGACACAAAGTGTGGTTATCTAAGAAAATTCCTCCTAAAATTAGGAAACTCTCTTCGACAACAGAGGCATTTGAACTACATTTAATGCCATTTGCAAGCTTGCATTTGGAACGCAGCAGCATCTCCGTTCCTTCTACCTTTAAATCCAACTGACAATGGATGGCAACACACTCTTTGGTACCCATACAACTTCCAAGTAATAAAGGGTTGGCACCACCAGAATTGCTGAAAAATTT